GTCTTCACATGCTACATTGCATTGCCTTTCCTTTCTTTTTGGGAGGGAGGCAGTCCATGATGGATGCTCTTTTTTAGAGACTTGTACTCCTGTTGCAGCTGCCCAGACTGGTTCTTGGCCATTCTGGAAGTCATGTGAGATACTTTTGGTCTTTCCTGTCAATGTTTCCCTCACAGAATCATGAAATAATACGTATAAGTGAGCTGTCCAGCACGTATTAGGCTGAAGTTGAGTCTTGCTACAGAGACTCAACTGCTATAGTCTTGCTATAGAGACTCATATGGAGGGTTATGTTGTCCTCTACATGGTAGATCGAGAAATTTAGTCATGCTGTTGCCGGACCACATATAGCTGCTGTGATTTGCTTTCTCAGGAAAATTGTTTTGTTTTCTTTTGTGTTTGTCATGGATATTTGGCTTCATACTTTTGGCCTTTGAGGAAAGAGCTTGTTTCCTTCTGTTTTAATTATTTGAAAGAGTGACCTCATGCTATAAACGGTGATATTGCACTATGGCTAGTTTTATTAGTGAGGATCATAGTGAGTGTTTTATGGACATGTGGCTAAGCACAAAGAGAAACTAATAAGTGGACTCCAGAAATTTTGGGGCAACCAGTTAATCTACTACAGTAATATGCATTTAGGTTATTTGCATGCATGTATTTCAGTATTATTTGCAAGCATGTATGAAATGTTATCATTACACATCCTTTGTCAAAAGGCATTAATATGTTTTATTAAAAAATCTCCATTTTCATTATAAAATTATAGGAGATTTTGTAAATAATAAAGTGTTGAAAAACATATAGGAACCAGCAAAATATATTTATATTTCACATTTTTGTGTGTTGTTTCCCATGTATTTTCCCTATGGATAGTATTTCTTATGTGGTCATGCTCATATTATATACACATATGTCATTACACAAAAGTTTATAATACTGGGGATTTAGTTTTAAGTTAGAAGTCTGGAAAATACAATTGCCTGGTCAAAACTTTTAGTCATTTTTTAGGCTTTACTGCCATCCTGGATTTCATGTTATTACAATTTTCACTCTTATTAGCAATATATGAAATGACTAGATAATTACCCAGTCAGCATTCATTTAAGAAATATAAATTGCCCAGTTCCTATTTGTCTAGACCCTAGAAATGTAACAGTGAGCATATCATACATCTCAGTTTTCTTCGTGAAACTTAGAGTACAGTTTGGAGATAGACATCAATCACATAATTGCACAAATAAATGTGAAATTCAAATAACGAATTATAAAGCAAAATAGTAACATTTATTAACCTCCATGGTTAACACAGATTTAGGTTGTATTATTTCCTGTACCTTTTAATATATTAAAAACATTTCAAAATGAAGTAGTTTTGATGTTTGGCTAATGTGAATAATGCTGTAGTTTTTTTTAAAATAAGTAATGCCCATGAAGAATGCTGCCATGAAAGTGTTTAAAGAAGGAATCTGAACTCACTTGAGGTATCAGGAAAGTGCCCCAGAAGAAGAATTGATGGAGCTGAACTTCAGAAGGAGAAAAAGAAGTTAAATACTCAAAGATGTGTGCATGTGGGTATGTGCACACAGATGTGCAAGGGGGCATCTTTATGTAGAGACAGGGAAGGTTAAGGGGGCAGGATAAATGTGGAACATTATGGGGTATTTGTAGGCAGCCCACAGTGACCTGGGCTGAGCTATACAGGGGATGGAGTGGAGTAGTAGAAGACAATGCAGGGCATGTGAGTAGTTCAGTGAGTGGCCAGAGCCCCTGCATGTTTACTGATCTGCTGGATGGAATGGGCCCACTGCAGGTGCAAAGGCCACCCAGGAAGGCAATGAGGGACCTGAAGAACTGCTGGCAGTGCAAATAGAACAAGGAGCAAGTGAGGGAGATCTTGAAGACAGCATCTGCAAAAACCGAGCAATTCTTTAGCCGGAATGACAAAGGCAGGCACAGTGTTGAGACCTTTCACATGAGTTGATGAGTCAGCGATACAAGTACCTTCCGACTGGAGTTGGTGGAGGAGGGAGAATGACACAGATGAGTTTAGACCTACAGTGTTAAATCTGCAACTTTGGTGAGGGTTTCATGAGTGGAAATTTATTGGGAATGTGGCCAATGGCAAAGTGGGGTGGATCATAGAAGAGATTTTCAAGCACTTTGATTCTTTCTAACTTCATGTGATTGTTCTAATCACTGATTTGGCCCTAGGTATGCAGGGTTTGGGTTTATATACAGCTGTGGTTAATCTTTAAAATCTAGTTAAAAAAAAGAAAACAAGATTGGTTTGCATTTTAGTTTAGATTCTTAAGATGGTTCGGGCCAATTGTTCAACTTCCAGAGGCCACACAGTTTAGTGGTTAAAATGTAGATCATGTTCAAACCCCAGTGGAGCACTTGTCAGTTTTGTGTTCTTTGTCAATTACTCCATCATTCTGACTCCACCTTCTCGTCTTCAAAGTGGGCTTTCTAATAAGTAAGTTGTGGTTTGTTCAATGAGTTAATCCTGTAACGTACTTACCACAGTGCCTGGCGCCTGGGAAGAGCACAGTCAGTGTTATTATGGTTCCTCAAAAAGAGAACATCAAATAATGTGAGACTAGATGCATAGAAATCAATTTTGTTTCATTTCTTTGAAATTGAGTGAGAACTCAAAACTATGGTTTCGTTCTTTGCTCACACTTTGCTCAGACTTATGTCCTCCAGTCCCATCCATGTTGTCACAAATGGCACAATTTCCTTCTTTTTAAAGGCTGAATAATAATCTGTTGTGCACATATACCACATTTTCTTTATCCATTCACTTGCTGATGCACACTTAGGTTGTTTCCATATCTTGGCTATTGTGAATAATGCTGTAGTGGACATGGAGCTGTAGATCTCTTTGAGACCCCAATTTCATTTCCTGTGGCTGTGTACCCAGAAGTGGGTTTGCGGTATCAAGCGGATTGGATGTTTAATTTTTAATTTTTTAAGGAACCTCCATACTGTATTCCACAGTGGCTGCATCAGTTTGTATTGCCACCAACAGTACACAAGGATTCCACTTTCTCCACATTCTCACCAATACTTGTTATCTCTTGTCTTTTTGATAATAGGAAAAGCAACAAAAAAAGAAGAGGAAGAAGTGTTCTCTTTAAGTGTGAGAGAGCTTGTGGGGGTTATGTGTCTTTTACTGCCTTGCCTGACCTACTTAATTCAAGTAGTAGCTAAAATGTAGAATTATTAACACTAAGTGATTCAAAACATAAAGCTTTTACAGAGGATTATCAATCTCTGAAATCCTTGTATGTCCTCATGGCAATTAAAAACCTGACTTTTTACCTTTGTTCTCTTCTTTTCCATGGCATTTATTTGCAGTGATGAGCATAAATACAATGCAGCATAAATAAGAAAAGAAGTCCTCAATACGTAGAGGGTCAATAACCCAGTCAAATTTTACTGAGCGAATGGCAGACTAAGGTGCAAGAGTAATTTTTCCCACTAATGCACTTCTTAGAATTGTGTGATTTTTAAAGGTATATACTACAGAATAAGGAACATATGTCACACAATCCCAATAATCACTTAGATTGTTTTTTAATCCTAGTCTTCTAGAAGCATCTATTATATTTAGTTACACTGATGTGATGCTGTGGTGTTCATGCAGTATTCCCCCCAGATTTTCTTCACTATCATATGATCTTTGAAGAAAATCTAAGTACCAAAAAGTCATTTCTCAAATTATTAGTTATATTATGTGTCCATAATAATATATATTGACATTGTCTTTAGTTTCTTGAGGACTAAACAAAAGACTAAGGGTATTCTGGTTTGGAAGAGCCTTTTTTTTTTTTTTTTGACATGTGTGTTTTTTTGTTTGTGTTCACCTGTTGGCAAATCCACAAATTTTCTGTCAATTACAAGATGGTAGCCTTCATTGTTCTGTGCCATTCTACTGTTTGATAGCATGATCGTATTTGCATGTCCCTTTCAGTGATTTTGGAGAGTTGCCAGTTGCCATGGTGATGAATATGATGTCCAACATCATATCTAGTCATAAAACAAGGATGGCCTTTGAAAAGCCACATGTAAATATTTATTTTCAAAGGTACAGCTGGCTCTTTGTGAAGTCTGGGTCACTTGAATGGTTTTCTTTTCAATGAATCATCAAATGAGAAGTCTGTTACCATATGATTTCCCGTTTTGCTTTAATAAACTTCCACTGTCCTCTATCCTTGGCCCTTTTGGCTAAGAATCAAAATCCACGTTATATAATTTCACTCTATTTTTTAGTTATAAATGTGTGTAAACTGTCTAATTCGTCCAGATTATGGCCACAGAGCTGACCTGACAGCATAGGTTTGTTATGGTGCCTCACCCTGAGCTCAGAAATCGACTCTCCCATTTTTCTATGGGTCATGCATGAATACTAGATGCTTCCATGCCAGTCAGGCTGACCCTTTAGACATCAAAGAGGCATTCTCCATAATGGGGCTTTTTCTAAGAATGCATATCAAAATGTTAGTATGATTTTTTTAATTATAGGTTTTTCACCTTTTGGGATTACTTGTCAAATTAAGTAAAAAGAAAAATCCATTAAAAAGCCTTTAATAAGGTTTCTTAGAAGCAGAAGTTTGCACAACTCTTGTACTACCATCCTGAATGATATTAGACTATTAGACTAATTAGTTTAGGACTTAGCTAATAATTAAATGAATAGATTATTAAGTAGCTCAACTGTGTTAATTAATAATTTAAATCCACACATTAGTTTCATAAAAGGACCTATTTTCTGCTGCTGACACATGCAACGTATGACTGCTTTTTCCTCACCTTTACTGATCAATATGCTCTAAGTTTGATTCAGACAGAGGAATCTGGGAGATAGAGAGTGAAAGGTGCTACTTCTATCCAATGCCCTCTTCTGAAAAAGAAAGAAAAGAATCAGAAAAAGAAAAAAAGAAACTCTATTCTGACACATTGTGAGGCTTATGATAACTATGTTTGCCTTTCAGATCCCCAGCTCAAGGGTATAGTGACCAGGTTATATTGCAGGCAAGGCTACTACTTGCAAATGCATCCCGATGGAGCTCTCGATGGAACCAAGGATGACAGCACTAATTCTAGTAAGTGACAACCTCAGGCCACCCGTTAACACAGTTGGTAGAAGCTACGCTGCTGCTTAAATGACTTCTTAAAATACATTTACAAATACTTGTTGTGTTGGTTCATTTTTACAAATGTTACACACTAGAATGCCATTTACCATTGTACTTGGACCACATGGATGAAAACATTAACAGCAACAAAAGAAAGCTATCATTTTAAGATAATTAGAGGTTATTTTCTCTTTCTCTTTTTTTCAAAATGATTGTTACATCCAGCATTATTGTTACTTTTAATCTTCATTATCCTAAAAGTGAAATAAGGACACCAGTGCATCCAGATGAAAGTTGAATCCATGTTTACTTTGGAAATACTGTTTTTACCAGGCTTGTAGCTTTTTAATGATAATTGTGGAAATTCAAGAGCTGTAAGGATTAGTTGTTTCAAATAATGGAAATGGAATTTTTCAAATTCTTTGCATTCAACCAGAAAAGATAGTATCTTTTTTGTAGAGAGGATGCGAAAGTTCTGTACCTTTAAATACATTGTACAAAATGTTTACATTATATATTTGGGTCTGTGATGATTTTTCTTTAGTTGAACAGCCATTGACCCTCCATTGTATGAGTGTCTGCCTTCACTTTACTATTTTTTAATATATAATTCTTCTTTGTGTTTTCATTCTGGTGTCTCTTCTTACTCAATTGTCTGTGTTTTCCCTTCCCATTTTCTGTTTATTCTGGCATAAAAGTCCTTTTAATTTGGCACATCAGTTTTAAAATAGACCCTTTCCAATGCTCAGGAGAATGAATGAAAAGCAAAAACTGATTTTATTGGAAATATTTATTCACATATTAACAGTGGATCAGGAGTGCATATGAATCTTTACCTCCATTTAACATTAGCCCTTCATTTATAGAACATCATTCCATGAGAAGAAGGGAGGATTTGAATACATATAACCAAATTATAGGCACTTTCTGTTTTAAGTTCTAGTAATCCAATTTTTAGTAGCCCCAAGATCATCTAATAATATAAAGCAGATTGTTTTTGCATTTGATGTCACTATGTGAAGTGTCAATATTTTTCTAGCCATTGTGTTTACCTTTTAGAATTTGGACCTTGCATCATTTAAATTTTTTTTCAACCTAAAAATGTTCTGTTTATCTGCATTTTCTTCCTTTTCAATCTCTAATCTTTTTCTCTCTTTGTGTCTATTATGTTGTCCTTTTGTCCTTTTAAACTTTTCCCTATTGTATTTGTTCATTGATTATTTTGTCAAGTGGTTTATTTCCTTCTTTGATTTAGAGAAAAGAGAAGGTAAAGCAATTCAAACACAAGGAAGAAAGAGAAAACATTTTTATTCTTAAGACTGATGTCAACCATTGTTTACTTGTTGGGATTTTGATATTGGATTGAACTTTTTAAAATTGTAAGGACTTGACCATCTTTGACCTATGAAAGATGCCAGTTTCTTCTGGTTCAAACTAATACATGTGTGTCTGTTCATTTTCTTCTCCCTATCTTTATCTCCTTACCCATTCTTTGACAAAAGGCATTCTCTTTTTCTTATGTCTTATGGGAGTCATGGACTCTCAAGATTTGTTAAGTTCTGATGTCTTCAATGTTTTCTGATTTCCTTTGACCAAAATCCAGTGGAGCATGAGGAATAGTTTTCCATAACTCTGATTACTGCAAAAACTATGACATTCTGACTTAGAGTTTGAGGCCATCCCTTATGCCAAAGTTTTTAAGAAAGGAAATAAACCATAGCTATATGAAAATGCTGCTTAGTTTCTCAGAAAAATAATTCTCTTCACAGGTTTTATGCATTTTTCCCCTACCTTCTTCTTTGGTTTTTGTAATGCCAAACAAGTTGGTTATTTTTAACGATGGGAATCAATATCAAATTAAGGTGTGTTAGGTAGACACTATCTTTTAAAAGCGTATTGCTTCAGAATTGAATAAGGAGCACAATATTTTCTAAACTGTGAAAGTGCAGATGTATACATTATCTGCACACACACACACACACACACACACACACACATAATTGTATCTGGTTACGCAAACAGTATTAAACACCAAACTGGAAATCGGAGACTAGACACCAAAAGACACACAACCTTCTGTTCTCTAAATGTGTGGGGCTTGTTTTCTCCTACTGTGTAACCACACTTGAAGAAACAAGAGTCTGGCAGCACTTGCAGTCCTCTCTAACCCCCCTAATACTGTCGAGGAACAATTTAAACAATAAAGAGGGGACAGGATCTCCTGTAGAGAAGCCACAGAACCAAGTTCTAGTGCCCACACTCAAGGGGCTTGCATTCCTGTGCAAAGAGCTGTCCCACACCTTCTGTTCCATTTTATGTGCCCTTTTCGCCAGTTGGGTTAGTTTTGTTACCATTTAAACATTTTCCAAAACATAGCAGAATAGAGAGAAACAGGGTGAGATACAGGTTCTCTCCTCAAAAGGCCATTAAAAATTATACGACCATAAAACTTAATAAAACATGGCAGGACTGCGGTAGTTTTATAAAAGCCGTGGGAATTACTGATTCACTCTACTTTTGTGTGTCATCACTTTTGTAGTTGAAAAGCACATTTTTTTAGATGGAATTTTAAGATTATTTTCTTTTCTCTGGTTCATTACAGTAGTCTTATGAATCTTCAGAAAATCATAAGCCATGAAAAGTATTCTATAAACATGAGGGTGAGCACTAGAGATGCTGGCAGGCGGGTCCTGGCAGCACTGCCCTTTTGGTTTGACGAAGGGTGTGATGTAACAATTCACAAATGCATTCCAGATTTTTGATAATCCTCTGAATCCAAACCAAAGACTAGTAATATGTAAGTAGGAAAAATAAGGAGAAATAATCTAAAGGTCACCATGCTGCCACCTTGAAAGTTACTATATGACAAAACTGAGGCTTGAGCCTTCAAATCTTCATGATTTGAGTTGGACACATATCCCCACAACTGAACATGAGCTTATTTAGAACTAGGTACAGTCAGAACGACCCTACTAAGCTGCCTTTGTCAAGATTTTCAGGTGAGTTGAGAAGAGAGAGAAAGGCCAGCAGACAGGTGAGCCTGATCCTAACCTCCTCCCTGGGTTTTCCAGCCCGAGATCTAGAAATCTCCGGGAAGGAAAGTGGCATGACAGTGATTGATGATGGGTGATTGGTCCTAATAGAGAAAATACTATAGCAACTTGACTGCTTACTATTGACATCTATGTGCCCTGGAGAGATCTTTCACAGAAAGAAATGAGTACACAGGTTACTTCATCACACACTCATTTTCAGGGTATATTCATTTAAAATTCTTAGAGCTGCCCATCTATCTACTAAACATTAGCCTTACCATGAAGTATGGCATTTGATTAGGGTGTAGTTTTCTTTTCCCCTAGTTTGCTTTTGGGGATGTCCTGAGGTGTTCCTGTGCTCTTAAACTTAATTGCTCCCATCACCAGATTTAATAAATGCTACAAGCACCCCTCTCATCTTAGAAATTCCCGACCTGATAATTTGATGTGTAAAAATTGCCCATCACTCACAGCTACCACCATGCTAGAGGCCTTGGGATGGCTGTTCCCATCTTGGCTGTACTTTAGCGTCATTTGAGGAGCTTTTTAAAAAATTTCCTTATGCCCTAAACCCTAAACCCACTTCCAGAGATTCTTATTGAATTTAATTAGTCTGTGGTTGGGCATGGATATCCTGCTTTATGAATACAGCTGATTTTAAAGTATAGCCGGAGTTGAAAATCACTACTGTACGGAAAACTAGAGTGTTCCACAGAATAAATAGGGTAGCATGAACATCTTATTATTCTGAACTCCCCTAGGCTTTGTGACATTGCTTTATAATTATATAAAATACAAAAGGAATGGAAAATATAATGATATCTCAATTAACATGGGTATCTGTAGTTTTAATTAGTACCATGGATTCATCATGATCAGCTCTGAATGGGCTTCCACATGACAGTGGTTACATGGATTAACTTTGATTTGTCTTTCTGTAAATGATAATAACTGACATTTTGGAATTCAGGTCCCAACCAAAATCCTAGGGAAATACCTATTTTTTGGTAAGGTCATTTTAGGCTATCATCTATAATTTTTCTCTTTCCTATACCATATTATTTTGATGAGTTCATGATGTACTTACTTTCTAGAATTATACCATCTGGCCTCTATCAAATATATGGCACCTACAAATACCATTAGTAGTGTATAAAGATTAGAATGATTAAGTTTGAATGGGTTAAGTTAGAATAGTTTTCAAGGACAGGCATCCAACTATGTTTTTTTTTCTTCAGAACTTTTACACCTAAATCAGGAATTGTTCTATGGTACCCATCCTTTCAAAATATAAGGGAAATAGGAGAGTTTAGGTGTTCTGGCTAAGAGTGAAATTAGCCAATGGTCCTGTCCCACAAAGAAGAAATACTGAGTTACAATGACACAAGTACCATGTACTGTTCAATGACTCCCACTCATGTTTACTATTAAGTAATAGAAGTGAGCAAGCATAAGCCTCATTCTTTTATAACATAAGCCTCTAGAATCCTATGGAAAAGAGTCCAAAGATAGCTTGAATCATGAAAGCTAGCATCCACTTAATCATTTTGCCCCTGAGTATTCCTTTAGGGATGATTATCTATGACCATGGCCTGCCATGTTCCTTTCATCACAGGCATCTTGACATCTTGGGATCAGTAACATGTAATACTTGGAAAAGAAGGTATAAATTTCCCCCACCCTTCAGAGAAAAAATGCGATGCCTCAGAATTAAATAGAAATTAATTTATAAAGTACATTTTTAATTATATACTGAGTAGACCCATAGATTGAAGCCAAAATTACCCACACTTTTCAAATTATTTGTCTTTTGTGGAATATATTTGAGAACCTAAACCTCAGGTATTTTGTTTACATGTTTACTTCAACATTTCAAGGTTGTCATTGCCTGTTCTGGCCTGATCCAGTTAGTTGGAACTACTCTTGAATTAAGACCTTGAGTGGGAGCAGATAACCGCACTGTGGATAATTAATAGCTCTCTTAAAAATGTATTTACGTTAAGGTTCCCCAAATCATGAAGCAGTTAATACTGAGGATGGTGCGAGAATACCCACAAAAGAGTCAACATGTAACCCCAGGATGAGAATGTGTTAAAGGAATGTTAAGACTTTTTTTTTAAACTCAGTGATAACATTGCTATCTGTACTATGTAAAATAATAGAAAAATACTTTACTGGTCAATAAGGGAAGAAATGATACATGGAAACATAAATGAGTTTTTATCTCACAGATGGGTAAAATTGAACACTTTCCCCTCTTTTATTTTAGTTATCACTCACAGTTTTATGAGATATTAGTAAAAAAAAATGTCTCTCTTTAAAATGTGCATGCCGTTCAGTATGATTCGTCCTTTCTAAATTGAGCACATTGACAGGTACACACCTTTTCTGGGCTCTGCTGGCATCTCATGTTGGTTCAGCAAGACTAATTTAGTTTTGAAATTACCTTTTAAACTTCTAGCCTGTCCTACACTGCAGTGATAAAACATGCTTTCTGCTTGAAAGACCAGACTAAGCATTCAACTTGGACTTTTTGATTCCACTCTGAGAATCTTCACAGCTGATTTCTTTTGACATCAAACGATGTCAGAGACTGTGATACTGGAATCGTGATTACAGGCTTGAGTCTGTGTATTGGTCCACCAATTCTTTGCAATGCTATAGGTGGACTGCTGATATCTATACGTTGAAGCTCAAGGGCTGATTTTACCCATTGAAGATACGTCTTCATTAGAAAGAGAAATAAAACTTAATTAATTGGAACTTCTCAGAAGGTTGTAACATAGATGATTTTTTTTTCAATAAAAGAAATGAAAGACAGAAAAGTGATGGCAAAGGTTTGCTTCCCCTGCCCATTTGTGACAGGCCATGTTTATCTTTACAGCACTGTTCAACCTCATACCAGTGGGACTGCGCGTTGTTGCCATCCAGGGAGTGAAGACAGGATTGTATATAGCCATGAATGGAGAAGGTTACCTCTACCCATCAGTAAGTAACATGCCAAAGGTGTTGGCCATTCATTCAATGTTTGCAAAAAAAACCCCCAAAACGGTAGTAGCAACAACAAAAATGAGAAGGATCTGTGTCTATTGACTCTGCCATCTTTGCTTTAATATTTGATCTTTACTACAGTGCTGTAAGGGCTGTTTCTTTATTATTCATCACTGTCTGATAATATCAGTATATATGTCAAGTGGAAGAGTAATATTACCTCTTAAAATTGTGCGTTTGCGTATTTTAAAAAAATGAGCTAGTTTGTAGAAAATGGAATAATTTTGAAAGGGTTGAGGTTAATATAATCTTTTATTTCTATTTAGAAATGTACTTGTCTTAGAGAGTTTCCTGTAAAAGATTATTTTATAAAGAGAAACAGAATTATTATGAATTCTAAAAAATAAAATTTAAAAAGAGTAGACTTTTGAAACCAGGAATTCAAATTGTGTCAATGTTTTGCAGGCAAAAATACTTATAAAACATGTATCGAATTTAAATCTAAGCAAGTCTTTCTGTTTTGTTTATCCTAGAAGTTGAGCACCTTTTTAGCCATATGACTTCTTCTGCAATATTTATTATTTACACATAAATCTCATTCAGATGTGCTGTATCCATACATTATAGTGGAGTCAGAATTAATTTCTGCCATAGGACCAAACAATAGAGACTTAGGTGAAAGTATTTCTTTTCTCCTTTGAGCAAAAGTTGACAGGTTAAATTCATGGTACCTCAAAGAAAAATGCTCTTATTTGGGTTTGCATGTCATGTTCATTTAAATTCTTTAAAACTCTGTTATTGCTAAATATTATCATCAAAAAACTACATGTAAACATGTATACAGACATTACCCACGCACACGCCTGCACGCACACACACACACACACACACACGCACGTAAAACTTAAGCAGAATCATTCTCTGGGGCATTTTCTTGAGCAAATCTGGAAAAACCTGTCAAAGAAAATGAAATTCGAGCTGCGGATTCCCTCTGCGGTGAACTGGAAAATGTTCTTGTTATTTTAGAAGCTTCATCTGAGTTCCCTAAAGGGTGTTCCTGCACACAGACCTGGGCCTCACATGATGTAAATTGCGTTCTGTTGCCCAAAATGAATATTCAACAGACTGAGAGCAAGATCAAGCTAGAATTCCCTATCCTCCCCTTTCAGAGAAGTATGATTCAGATAAAGATCACTTTCTGGAGATGCCTTCTTTCAGATACAAGTCAATTTTATGAATTTGACATGTGTTCTGTTATTTTTGTTTCTTTCTTTCCCCCCAGGTAATCTTTGACATACCTAAAAATTATTAGTTGCAGTATCTGCCATAACTTATAGGTCTCTGTTTCTGTTGATGATTTTATCATGTTGTTTGTTGTGCTCTGATACATGTGTTGATGTCAGAGGGACACGTGAATGTTTTTTATTTTTTTGCTACTGAGGGAGGTGCTTTCTATTTCTTTTGTGATGAAGTTGCACACGAATACCATTTTTTAAGGTAACAAATATCATCTTGAGTGTGTGTCTTTGCCAAAAATGCAAGTTCAGGTTGTGTTTGGTGGAAAGCAGTGCAGCAGTAATAGAAGTGATGAAGGGACTAATGGCTGGTCCATAAGGCCTCCTGCCCAGGAATCAGGTCTCATAAGGATAGCTATGGGTGACAGCATCTGCCCCAATCTGTTTCAGTGACAACTTCAGGTTTATTGTTGACCCGTTATTTTCTGTTCTCAATGTCCCTGGTTCTCCAGTTCCTTGGCATCTGTGCCTTCCTTTTGGTGCCTTGATTCTTGACTTACAGATGTTGCCTTTCTTCTCTTCCTATCTTGACTCTTTGCTTTGAATCCAGGATCGGGTAAAAGATATTCTATCTGTCCATCCCCCACCCTGTGAGATCCCCACTGCATAAGCCAGGCCCTTATAATCCTCAGCCGTCTTTCAGGAAAAGGACTCCAATGCAAATCAAATGCAACTTCCAATCTTTACTATTACTCCATAGTTAAAGTGCTATTTATTTCAATGTAATGAAATGTGAACTTAAAATATTTCAGTAAAAAGAATATATTTCCAGGGCACATGGGTGGCTCAGTCAGTGGGCGGCTGGCTTCGACTCAGGTCGTTATCTCATGGTTTGTGAGTTCGAGCCCTCCGTCAGGCCCTGTGCTGACAGCTCGGAGCCTGGAGCCTGCTTTGGATTCTGTATCTCCCTCTCTTTCTGTCCCTCCCCTGCTCGCACTCTGTCTCTCTCTTTCTCAAAAATAAATAAACATTCAAAAATATTAAAAGAATATATTTCCATAGTCATCTATTTCATAAGTAGTGAGTAATCACTAGGTTAATAATATAGCACAACACAATATAACAATTGCTATACTATATAATAACAATAGATCTACTTCTATAGTAATAATAATGGCTAGTATTTATATAGTAAACTCTGCCCAACACTGTTCTAAGCACTGGCCAGTATTAGCTCATCTAATCCTATTGAGCAAATGCTTTTAAAATGGTGATACTGATGCACAGAGAGTTTAAGAATCTGTGCAGTCACCCAGGTAGTAAATAGAGAAGACAGGATTTGAGCATTAATAGTCTGACTCATTAGCTTACATTTTAACTGTTTCACTATAATGCTTCTATGTGCCAGACATTTTTCATCATATGGTCTGGCACCTATTCTATCTAACAAGAAGTTATAAACACATGATGATGTAAGGAAAACCTTTAGGGATTTGCTACCTAGGGAACAGATTTCATTTCAATTATTAAGAAGTGTAATTTGAAACATGATCCTTTTCCTTTGGAGATTCTCAAACTTAAAAAAGAAATCATAGAAAATTGCATCTCTCTGGGAAAAAGTTGATATTATGTACTAAGCATTTAATATTCTTAACATTTATTACATATAACTTTTGAAATTTAAATTAAAAAAAAAAAAACTATACCGGGGTGCCTGGTTGGCTCAGTCAGGTAAGCCTCCAACTTCAGCCCCAGTTGGTCATGATCTCATGGTCCATGGGTTCGAGCCCCGAATCCAGTTCTGTGCTGACAGCTTGGAGTCTGGAGCCTGCTTCAGATTCTGTGTCTCCCTCTCTCTCTGACCCTCCCCCACTCACACTCTGTCTCTGTCTCTCTTTCAAAAATAAACATTAAAAAAAGTTTTTTAAAAAGCCATGCCACACATGGCTAACTCAGCTAAGAGGTTTTGAAGTTAAGTTGAATAAATGCTTTAAAAGGAAAACTCCAGTCAACCTCAGGTTTAAAAAAAAAAGTAATAAAGATTAAAGTCTTGGAAATGAAGGAATCTGTTTTAAGCTTGTGCCCACTTTAAAAAGATCAACTTAATGTTTGCACAGTGAAAACTAGTGCCCAATATGGGACCAATTTTACTGAGGATCCATAGATTTAGAAGCTAGGCAATAAAACACACAGATCATTCAAAATAAATTCTGTTGAATGAAAATCACATTAGAGTTTTGATTTGAGATGCATATTTCTCTACTTGCATTTCAGGAAGTAACTCTCATAAGCCCCCACCATCCAAATAAAGATATTCAATTTGTCAGATAATTTCACCTCCGGTGGGGGAGGTGGGACAAAAAAAAAGTACTAAATGAAAATAAACACATTTCTGATGTTTAATAACACATATGTTATTAAATGTTTCACATTTCTGATGTGAAAATAAACACATTCTGATGCTGAAGGCACATGTTCCCCGTGGAATCTTTCCTTTTATATGACAATAGTCGTCTCTTTTGTGGTCATGATGATTATAATATGTTCCTCAGAGATGTATATCAAGAGATTTAATGTCAGATGTGAAGAATTTTCTCAAAGGTAGAAGACAAGCTGCAAAATGGTAGAACAGAAACTGACAAGGGAATATTTACATTAAAGAATTAGTTTAATATGATTTTGGGAAATACATGTATTTTGAACAACTATAAACTGTCTATAGCACCATGAGGAACAATTTTTTTTCAAGTAATCTGTAGCTTTAAAAGACTAAAAAATCCTCTGTAGAGAGACATGGTTTGAAGGTAAATTCTGAATACTGAAGAACTCAGAATGAAGGAAAGGATTGTTGATCATTGGGGCACAGATAGAGAAGAGTGGAAGTCAGAATGTGTTTCTGATATGAGAAGAGGAAAAAGGGGAGGGGGGAAGAAGGAAAAGACACTGATGGTGAGTAGAACCATGGGCTTTCTCAGGACACCTGGACCCCGGATCCAGCCAAGGCCCATGTTGTCATTCATGCCCCAGTCTTTGCCTCTCAGGCTTCTCATCTATACAATTAAAATGTTTCCCTGGATACTTAAGTTAATTTGGGGGTTTTAAAATTCTGGTTTTAGTCTGTTTGATTTTTCTGAATGATGACATAAGCAACATACATAAAATGTATAAAGACTCATTATTGCTATCTTATCACAGGCTGACATTTATGAGAATATCATATTCCAAAGGGTGATATAAATATTTCTGTTACCCAAATGCAGGCATCTGGGGAGGCAGTAAGCCCTGGGGCTCTCCTGAGATTAATATTTGCTCTGAGTTTCTTAACCAAGTGATACAACTGGAGAGGAAGACAATCCTTTTTCATGTAGATTTGTTAAATGAATCAAAAAAAGTAACACTGCTACTGTGATTTGTAAATATTTGGGCTCATAAGAATCACCTGGAAAGAGGGAGAAAAGGTAGATTCTTTGGGTCAGACTCCCAATGTTTCAATTCAGTGGGTTTAGTAGGAGTCCCAGGAATCTATATTAATAAGGATCCCCCGTCCACCCACTAGTGGGTGAGTCAAAAGCTGGTAGCTCAACCATAAACAACCATATAGCAATTATTTTTGAAATGGCTGGTGGGGGAGATGTTGGTAGATTTAGGTTAAGGTAGTAAGAGTAGAGTTGGTAGGCAGGTACCTAGATGCAGAGCCCGACACTGAGTAGAATAAAATATTTGGTTTTCCTAACTTCCTTTGCCTCTAATTTGAAGTTTGCA